TGACTTTGCATCCCAATATTACACTTTATATACATCACAGAAGACTGAAATATAACACAACCGTTTGACATAGAAACACCGGATTTAAGCTGTAAAAAATAAATGTTTTATTAATTATGAAATATTAATAACATTCCACCCATGAGGCCACTAGAGTGTGATTTGGTCATTAGATTGCAGGAAAGGGCTGACATCACTGAGAAACGTCAGGTTTAAAAATATGGTCATTATGGAGATGTTTGATGAAAGGAGAAGACAATCCAAGTCACCCTGACTCAGGCCAGGCCTTGGTCTGGGGTTCTGGGAACCTGGGACACCTGTGATCGCCTCATAGATGACAGAAAACACACTCTCCCTCTCTTTCTCTCATACACAGAGACATAGAGTGCATTCGGAAAGTATTCAGACCCCTTGACCTTTTCCACATTTTGTTACGCTACAGCCGTATTCTAAAATGGATTAAATAAAACATTTTCCTCATCAATTTACACACAATACCCCATAATGACAAAGCGAAAACAGAATTTTGAAAAAAATTGCACATTTATTACAAATAAAAAACAATTTCTGCAGCATTGAAGGTCCCCAAGGACACAGTGGCCTACATCATTATTAAATGGAAGAAGTTTGGAACCACCAAGACTCTTCCTAGAGATGGCCGCCCAGCCAAACTGAGCAATCGGGGGAGAAGGGCCTTGGTCACCTCCCTGACCAAGAACCCGATGGTCACTCTGACAGAACTAAAGAGTTCCTCTGTGGAGATGGAAAACCTTTCAGAAGGATAACCATCTCTGCAGCAATCCACCAATTAGGCCTTTATGGCAGAGTGGCCAGACGGAAGCCATTGACAGCCCGCTTGGAGTTTGCCAAAAGGCACCTAAAGACTCTCAGACCATGAGAAACAAGATTCTCCGGTCTGATGAAACCAAGATTGAACTCTTTGGCCTGAATGCCAAGCGTCACATCTGGAGGAAACCTGGCACCACCCCTACGGTGAAGCATGGTGGTGGCAGCATCATGCTGTGGGGATGTTTTTCAGCAGCAGGGACTGGGAGACTAGTCAGGATTGAGGGAAAGATGAACGGAGCAAAGTACAGAGAGCTCCTTAATGAAAACATGCTCCAGAGAGCTCAGGACCTAAGACTGGGGCGAAGGTTCACCTTCCAACAGGACAACGACCCTAAGCACACAGCCAAGACGACGCAGGAGTGGCTTTGGGACAAGTCTCTGAATGTCCTTGAGTGGCCCAGCCAGAGCCCGGACTTGAACCCGATCGAACTCCCCATCCAACCTGACAGAGCTTGAGAGGATCTGCAGAGAAGAATGGGAGAAACTCCCCATTTACAGGTGTGCCAAGATTGTAGCGTCATACCCAAGAAGACTCAAGGCTGTAATCGCTGCCAAAGGTGCTTCAACAAAGTACTGAGTAAAGGGTCTGAATACTTATGTAAATGTATATTTTCAGTTTTTTTTAATTTTTATAAATTAGCAAAAATGTAAAAAAAAAACAGTTTTTGCTTTGTCATTATGGAGTATTGTGTCTTGATTGATGAGGGGGGAAAAGAATGTAATCCATTTTAGAATAAGGCTGTAACCTAACAAAATGTGGAAAAAGGGGTCTGAATACTTTCCGAAGGCACTGTATACATGCACACACACACACACTTACTCTTATTGAAATGATCTCAGTACAATAATCTCTGGATCATTTCTAAGAGGCTTTGCCTGAGTTCCATAAGAGAATAGTTAACATGGGGACATGGAGAGTATTTAAGGTTAGTATTCCTACATTCTTTCAAAGAGTTTTATCTAAACTTTGACAGACATAGCCAAGCCAGGCTGTGCAGTGTGCCTGAATGAAGTGCACCTCCACATGAAGCCTCTGTCACCCGTTTATGTCACACTCTTCATTATTTTCCATTTCTTTCAAGATCTTAGTGCAAGCGTTTCAGGACTCAGGAGAAGTGTCCAACTTTCTCATAAAAGCGCACTCTGCTGAAAGGGAAACTCAACTCTCAGTGCTTTTTTACTCTGCTCTTCCAAAGAATAAATCCCAGCTTTGAAAATGGATAATGAGCAAAGACCATTTTTCAGTCTTTGGACTAAGCCAGGGATTGAACTCCCAACCTTCCAATTTCAAGGCATACACTCTTACCACAAGGCCACTGAGTTTGCTAGCTAAAGGAAGAAGCAAGCAAGTAACAAAATCTTTACTTTTAAATTTAGCCACCTTATTGTGAATAGAGAACAGTGGGGATTAAGTTTGAGATTGAAGCAGACCATATTAACAGGGTATCAATCTCCGTTCTAACGCTGTCCTCACCTCATCTTTCACATACACTGACTTGTTTTTTTCTTCCCCTCTTCTACCATTCTGTCATGCTCTCTCTCATGATGAGGGAAGTTATCTTTATAGGCAAAGTACCCTGGTGACAGTTGGTTTATGCCTCTAGAGGGCGGCCTTGTCACAGTGACCCTCTCTCAGTGTATCTCTCCCTTTATCATCAGTGCCAGGGAGACACTTGAGGGCCCCACTACCTCTCCAGTCCTCCTCATCGTCTCCTGGTCTCCTGTAGCGACAGGGCCTCTCTGTGTCAACCAGAAGGATCCTAGTGCATGGAGCTTTATGGCAGCACGTTCTGACTCACTGCTTAGTACTCGCCTCTCAAGACAGTCGAAGGGGGACACTTGTCCCCTGCCCCACCCCCTCTCCAACAACACCCCATCTGCTTAGGTGATATGTGTGCGCAAGCCACACGGAATGCCCCTCGCTCTCTCCATCATCACGATGTAGCATTTATGAGTCATGAGTCAAGGGAGACATCTGCTAAAGGAACTTGGTGTACAAGCTCTCACAGTCTCCCTCTTGACATTTTCATCTGTCTGGACATCGGTAGGTAAATCCTCTTGTCTGATCCCTCTCGCTCTCCTTTGGTCTTGTCTCCTTACATTGTTACTTTTATTCAAACACCTCTCTTACTCCTGTGGTGCCCCCTGTCGCTCATCTCCCTACATGGCACCTCTCTCTACCCCTCTCTCCCTCACCTTAGACCTATATTTATTTCCTAATGTTTTACTTATTCTAAGGTGCTTAATCCCATCAGCAAATAACTCCCATACACCACAGCCAATGGGCTATGCGTAAGAATGTTTACCAAATTCACTGTCACAAAGGAGAGGAGAGGAGTAACTGAGGCAGTTTGATACTGGGGATGATTGTGTGGCTTTGGTAGGGATTTCAGGGGTGATGGTGTAGAGTGGAAATAGGCTTGACAGAGCTCTTTGTCTCTAAACTGTCATTTATTATGAGCTCTAGCCAAACAAGTCCTTTATCCAACTGAAAACACAAAGTCAAACCTGTTTATCTCGAGGCTAAATAACATGTGTGCCCACTTAATGTAATAGGCCTATCATATATTCAGCTCATGAAATTAAACCTATTGGCACATAAACGCTGCAAGTTCTGGAATGACTGCACTAAAATACCCATGCCTGTAACGAAATGATAGACCAACTGCCTTCTTGAACATTTTCTCTGGGAACAAACACAGTGTGTTTTAATTTGTCTCTGCTTGAGCTGGGCGCGTGGGAGGGAAGGGATCGCATGGCTATAAAATATATCAAAATGGCACAGTGATATTAATTCTGTTGCCCTGGTGACTGCTGACTGAACTGAATAGTAAATATAAACCTATTGGGTTACTACTACACTATATAGCAAAGCTATAGAAAGCAAGGAGAAAAGTAACACGCGATGTTGCTAATAAACCTTAAGCTGGTTCGCCTACTTCAATAGCCAATGCACTGTTTTTTACCCTGATCACAGCTGACCCATAGCCTATAGACGCGGGCGTCATATCGATCCACCTGGTAGGCCACTAAGTGCGCCTCATAGAGTTATCTGTGCCAGCGCCGCCACTCATCACTTGGAATAATAGGCCTATATTATCCGACTGTCCCGTAAATATCTCCGCGCACACGCTTCACAAAGCAAGGCATATTCTCCGTGTAGTCACGTGGGTCGCGCATCAGCCAGGCTAGGGTATAGGCGTTACAAATGAAAAAATGGGGTTATGAAATGTGTTATTTTAGGAGTTTATCAACACTGAATTTGGTTTAGACTAGGCTCAAGAAAGGAGTTCCAATGCGCAGCCACGACCAGGTCGCCAATGCTCGCCTCCGCTAGTCGCTATCCATGGTGCTGAATGTTTTCATTCGGAGTCAGCACTCTGTCAATATCGAGTTAAAGAGAGAGAGAGCGGTCATGTGGTCGCGCATTAACTTCGCTTATTTGCTTTCCGTGGGAGCTCGGGGATTTATGTAATGTCTTATTCTGTGTGTTTATAGGGTTGTATTGGGACACTTCTTGAATTTGAGTAGGTTTGGACACTCCAATAGAAAAACAGGCGGCATAACCTATATATTTTTCAGTCGGTATTTTGTTTTGTAAATATATAAGCCTATGTCAACTGATGAGACGCAACAGTAGCCTATACATTTTGTATAAGAATAACGTCAAACATTTTCTAATCTAGCCTATAGGCTCGCCATATCACGCATGCACAAACGAGATGCAAACGCTGGAGGAACTTATATTTTGGACAGAATGCGTTGGATCTCAAACATCTCGCAGACAATGATTCTCTCTCAACATTCTAGAATATACATGGGAAGAAAAATGGTGATTGAAAATTGTAGAAACTCTACAGACTCAGTGCTGGAAAATGTAATTGTGGGATTAATCGAAATGTAATTGACGGCAATGATTATCCACATTGAACCCAAGTAGCCGAAGGAGCGCACGTTTTTTGGAAGGGGAAAAGAACACGTTGCCTACATATGAAACCTTCCATACACTGCCTCTTTTATCTGTGTGCGCTTCCTCCACACGCCACACCTGCCTTTGGATTGATTATACGCCACAGCAAGAGAGGCGGGAGCTAAACCACAGTGAGCACCACCCCCACCTGTAAGAGTTTCTCCGCCCCGAGGGCTTGAAGATGAATAAGCAGAATGTGCGGACCCTGTCTCTTATCCTCTGCATGTTCTCCTACCTGCTGCTGGAATCCGAGACGGAGAGGTCCCGCCGACGCATCCTTGAGCTGGAGCGCACTGAGATGAAGTACCGCTTCTTCGAGGACGACTACCGGGAGATCGAGCGGGTGGTGCTGTAAGCGGAGCCCCACCGCGCCGGGAGACAGTGGAAATTCGCGGGGTCTTTTTACTTTGCCATCACGGTCATTACCACCATTGGCAAGTTTTGCTCGCTTCCCTTAGGCTACTTTTGTCATGGCAGAGTCAAAGTGTTACAGGTGTCAGGAAATTGTTTTATAATACAGTGTCTCTGCAGTGTTCTGCATCGGTAAATAGGCTACTGTACAGAAGAGTCAGCCATTTGCCTATTTTAAAGTCTAATTTAATATATAGCACATCTATACAGAATATTGTAGCATGCTATTCCTTATTCTCGGCATCCCTTAACCATTGGCTTCAACAGCATCATTATTAGTCTACAATAACACGCAGTAAAGAGTAACTGAGTGTTCCTCTGGGTGGCCATCTATCTCCACAGGCTATGGCCATGCAGCTCCAGGCACAAATTCAGGGAAGGGCTTTTGCATGTTCTATGCTGTGCTGGGCATCCCTCTCACCCCGGTCATGTTCCAGAGCCTGGGCGAGAGGATGAACACGTTTGTCCGCTACCTCCTGCGCAGTGCCTAGGGTTACGGAGGACTGAGGTGTCCATGGAGAACATGGTCTTGGTGGGCTTCCTGTCCTGCATCGGCACCCTGTGTGTTGGGGCAGCAGCCTTCTCCCACTACGAGGCCGGGACCTTCTTCCATGCCTACTACTACTGCTTTATCACACTCACCACCATTGGGTATGGGGACTTTGTGGCCCTGCAGAAGAAGGAGGACCTCCAGCAGAAGACGCCCTATGTGGCCTTCAGCTTCATGTACATCCTGGTGGGGCTGACAGTGATAGGAGCCTTCCTCAACCTGGTAGTGCTGCGCTTCCTCACCATGAACACAGAGGACGAGAGGAGGGACACCCAGGAGAGGGCCTCCATCAAGAGGGAGAGGGGCCTTCTGACCATGGGGCTCCATGGAGGAGGAGGACCTGGGCAGGGCAGAGGAGGGCTTGGGGGCAGGGACAGGGGGAGAGGGAGGGACAGGATGGGGCAGAGCCGCAGTCACATCAACCTTTTCCTGCCCAAGGAGGAGGGCACCAGCCGCACCAACCTCATCTCCTCCCCAGCGGAGGAGCAGGAGGATAGGGACAGGGCCAGGGCTGCCCCCTGCAGGCAGAGGCTGCACTTACAGCTTCATGGCACTGGCAGTCTCCCCTGGGCTCCCTGTGCTCCTGTATGTGCTACCGTCTGGGGATGTGTGAGAGCCCCCTGCCTTCTCGCAGGGAGCACCCTGGGAGCAACATTAACTCTGTCTACTGCAACATCTCTTACAGGACCCAGAGCTGGAGCCCCAGGGACAACACAGGACTATCGTCCCCAGGGAGCACACTCTCGCCTGGGCACAACTTCAGGGAGTACCCCCGCTCCCGGAGGAAGTCAGTGTAGCGCCATGTGGGACAGAATCTTTGCTTGTACAGGTTGGATTAATAAAGTATTTCATACATATATTTCTAATACACTAGAGAGGCAAGGTGTTGTAGTACACTGTAGATGCACACACTCGATTAGACGATAAATTGGTGTAAAGTATTGGCAGAGGCAAGAGAATCTGTTTTATCACAGGAATTCTAGAACATATTTTCCCTAATCAAATGATTACAATGCTGTATTTATTCTAAGGATGAATTTAAGTTGTTTTTGCATTATAGCCGCTGGAGATGTATCTTGTGAATCAATTCACTTACTATTGCAATACTCTGTGAGCGTTTGTTTTTTACCCAATATTTATTTCTCCTGGATAGTTTGAGTATTATCTGCATGACTGATTATTTTTTTGCATGCAAAAAAGAGTGGAGATGCATGATTAAGATGATACACATGGCATGATAATTATATTAAGAAAAATACAATGATGCAAATGACTATCATTAAGGATATTTGGGTATTATGATTGTTTTTTAAGTACACACACACACAAATAATGAGTAAAGCAGGTCCTCAGCATGATGGTTGCTGCTGATTCTGAGGAAAGTACTTAAAATTGCATGCCTTTAATGGAATTATGTTTAATGAGAAGGACATTAATAGATAGGAACACGAATATGGCAGCGATGGCCTTTAATTAACCAATATATATTACATATATAAGTCATCATACTACTTGTCCTTACAGCAGGTTAAAAACAACCCTGCATACATTTCCCTGTACTAATGCACAGTACATATACAGAGACAGTTTGCCTTTTATGTGTTGATTTACATTTTATGGATGTAGCACATGCCTGATATGTAGCAAGACCTTTCAGAAATATGTAAGCCTATTTATTTCCATGACCATGGGCCTTTAAACCGTATTATATTTTCAGGTGAGACAAATCTTGTTGTTCTTGCAACTGTTATTGAAATCTATATTAGGTTTGGTTTTTAATCTCACAAAGCCCTGTCTTGATGTTGACAAAATATTGAAAGAAGAGAAGGAATCATAAACAAAATGAAAATAATGCTTATTTTAGATGTTTTCCCCCCCAATCCCTTAACATTGCTGTATAATAAACTCTATAACTAGCTGTATATTATCTCTAATAGAGATAACATGCTCCCAGAACCAACACTGAGACCATTTGACTGCTTGATGGTCATACGTAGTTTCACTCGCCACACGTACGTATAAAAAAAAATGGTACAGTTTATTAACAGTTTATTAAACAGTTTATTATGGCACAAAAAACATTTCAATGTGACTAACAAGGGAACTGATTCTCCATGGACTTCCCATTTGTGCTGAATAAGACACTGTGCATGAAGTCAATTACCAGATGCTATTGATTCTCTCACTTCACAGAGAAAATGAGGATAAAAGAGTCAGAGAGATAATCACAATTAGATATTTTAGAAAGATACTGTATTAATGGCCTTGATGATTTACTGGCTTGAGGGCCCTGTATATCCAGTGCATTCGGAAAGTATTCAGACCCCTTGACTTTTTCCACATTTGTTACCTTACAGCCTTACTCTAAAATATGAAAACATATTTTTTGAAATCTTTGCAAATGTATAAAAAATAAAATACCTTATTTATATAAGTATTCAGATCCTTTGCTATGAGACTCGAAATTTAGCTCAGGTGCATCCTGTTTCCATTGATCATCCTTGAGGTGTTTCTACAACTTGATTGATTGGACATGATTTGGAAAGGCACACACCTGTCAGAGCAAAAACCAAGCCATGAGGTCAAAAGGAATTGTCCGTAGAGATCCGAGACAGGATTGTGTAGAGGCACAGATCTGGGGAAGGGTACCAAAACATTTCTGCAGCATTGAAGGTCCCCAAGAACACAGTGGCCTTCATCATTCTTAAATGAAAGAAGTTTGGAACCACCAACTCTTCCTAGAGCTGGCCGCCCGGCCAAACTGAGCAATTGGGGGATAAGGGCCTTGGTCAGGGAGGTGACCAAGAACCCGATGGTCACTCTGAAAGAGCTCCAGAGTTCCTCTGTGGAGATGGGAGAACCTTCCAGAAGGACACCATCTCTGCAGCACTCCACCAATCAGGCGGATAGAAGCCACTCCTCAGTAAAAGGCACATGACAGCCCGCTTGGAGTTTGCCAAAAGGCACCTAAAGGACTCTCAGACCATGAGAAACAAGATTTTCTGGTCTGATGAAACCAAGATTGAACTCTTTGGCCTGAATGCCAAGCGTCACATCTGGAGGAAACTTGGCACCATCCCTACAGTGAAGCATGGTGGTGGCAGCATCAGTTCTGAGTAAAGGGTCTGAATACTTATGTAAATGTGATATTTCAGTTTTATTTTATAAACGTGCAAAAATTTATATAAACCTGTTTTTGCTTTGTCATTATGGGGTATTGTGTGTAGATTGATGAGGCACAAAAACTATTTAATCCATTTGAAAATAAGGCTGTAACATAACAAAATGTGGAAAAAGTCAAGGGGCCTTCAGAAAGTATTCACACTCCTAGACTTTTTCCACATTTTGTTGTGTTAAAAAGTGGGATTTAAATGGATTTAATTGTAATTTTAACATTTATGTAAAAATAAAAATTACAGAAAAATATCTTGATTACATAAGTATTCAAGTCCCTGAGTCAATACATGTTAGAATCACCTTTGGCAGCGATTACAGCTGCGAGTCTCTATGAGCTTTCCACACCTGGATTGTGCAACATTTGCCCATTATTCTTTTCAAAATTCTTCAAGCTCTGTCAAGTTGGTTGTTGAGCATTGCTAGACATCCATTTTCAGGTCTTGCCATAGATTTTCAAGCAGATTTAAGTCAAAACTTTAACTCGACCACAGTCCTTAACGATTACAATCATACCCATAACATGATGCAGCCACCACTATGCTTGAAAATATGAAGAGTGGTACTCAGTAATGTGTTGTATTGGATTTGCCCCAAACATAACACTTTGTATTCAGGGAAGAAAGTTAATTGCTTTGCCACATTTTTCGTAGTATTACTTTAGTGCCTTGTAGCAAACAGCATGCATGTTTTTGAATATTTGTATTCTGTAAAGGCTTCCTTCTTTTCACTCTGTCAACTAGGTTAGTATTGTGGAGTAACTACAATGTTGAACCATCCTCAGTTTTCTCCTATCACAGCCATTAACCTCTGTAACTGTTTTAAAGTCACCATTGGACTCATGGTGAAATCCCTGACCGGTTTCCTTCCTCTCCGGCATCTGAGTTAGGAAGGACTCCTGTATCTTTGTAGTGACTGGGTGTATTGATACACCATTCCAAATATAATTAATAACTTCACCATGCTCAAAGGTAGGGGTGTCAAACTCATTCCATGGAGGGCCTAGTGTCTGCTGGTTTTTGGTTTTTCCTTTAAATTAAAACCTAGACAACCAGGTGAGGGGAGTTCCTTACTAATTGGTGACCTTAATTCATCAATCAAGTACAAAAGAGGAGCGAAAACCCGCAGACACTCAATTCTCTGTGGAACGACTTTGACACGTGCTCAAACGGATATTCAATGTCTGCTTTTTTACCCATCTACCAATAGGTGCCCTTCTTTGTGAGGCATCAGAAAACCTCCCTGATCTTTGTGGTTGAATCTGTGTTTGAAATTCACTGCTCGATTGAGGGACCTTACAGATAATTGTATGGGTGGGGTACAGAGACGATGTAGTCATTTAAAAAAATTATGTTAAACACACATTATTGCACACAGAGAGAGTCCATGCAACTTATTATGTGACATGTTAAGCAAATTTTTACTCAAACTTGCCATAACAAAAGAGTTGAATACTTATTGACTCAAGACATGTCAGCCTTTAATTTAAGTAATTTGTAAAAAAAAAAAAAAAACTCATTCCATTTTGACATTATTGGGTATTGTGTGTAGGCCAGTGACAAAAAATCTAAATGTAATACATTTTAAATTCAGGCTGTAACACAACAAAATGTGGAAAAAGTCAAAGGGTGAAAATACTTTCAGAAGGTTATCTATAGAAAGAGAGAGAGAGAGAGCAAGAGAGAAAGGAGCTGTGACAAGGGCGCCCTCTAGAGTTGTAAACCAACAGTCACCGGGCACTTTGCCTCATTTAAAAATTAAAAAATGTACCTTTATTTAACTAGGCAAGCCAGTTAAGAACACCGGCGAAACCCGGACGATGCTGTGCGCCACCCTATGGGACTCCCAATCACGGCCGGTTGTGATACAGCCTGGAATCGAACCAGGGGGTCTGTAGTGACACCTCAAGCACTGAGATGCAGTGCCTTAGACCGCTGCGCCACTTGGGAGCCCATCATGTGTTATTGATTGAGATTGACCAGTCAACTGTGCTAATCTGACTGTCCTTTCATTGTTTAACTCTCAGCAGAACGTTTCTGAACTAATTAAAATCTCCACAGACTGATACAGACATACCAAGCAGAAAATAAGGCCAACAGAGAGAGGAGTGATTATTACACACTGTCTAAATAATTGAACACCAGAGGCCAGTAGTACTCTATTTCTGTTTTCCCAATGCTTCTGAAGCTGGTGAGTTAGGGGCCTTATCTGTTTGTAATGGAAAATAATGAGGTGATGGAGTTGAATCACCTTGCACAGGGAGCCACGCTTTGGGATCCTCAGATGAGATCAACTGTCACAATGGTTGTATAATGTTTATGTAAGCAGTACCATGCAGTCCCTTGTCTTCAGGATATGGCCCAAACCTCCAGGTCGTTGATGAGGAAGTCGTCAGAGGAGGACAACACGTCATTGTCAAATGTGTCACACCTCTGGCTCCGCCCATGGATCAGGCCATCGTCTAACCACAGGCCAAAGAGACCCCTGAGAGCATAGCAGGAGAAGGGGGAGGAGAGTGAGCATAATTCCTCAACTTTCAAGCACTCCTTTTAGTTACTTCCCTATTCGGTTGAGTTATAGTTAGGGCCCTGTGCTTTGGTTAATTATGTCACATGATTTAAAACTTTATTTTACTCCTATTCCAGAAATGAGAATTAGACCTACAGTTGAAGTCGGAAGTTTACATACACTTAGGTTGGAGTCATTAAAACTTGTTTTTCAACCACTCCACACATTTCTTGTTAACAAACTACAGTTTTGGCAAGTCGGTTAGGACATCTACTTTGTGCATGACACAAGTAATTTTTCCAATTGGTGGTGTACCTATAATAATAATAATAATAATAATAATAATAATAATAATAATAATAATAATAATAATAATATGCCGTTTAGCAGACACTTTTATCCAAAGCGACTTACAGTCATGTGTGCATACATTTTCACGTATGGGTGGTCCCGGGGATTGAACCCACTACCCTGGCGTTACAAGCGCCATGCTCTACCAATTGAGCTATAGAGGACCTGTGGATGTATTTCAAGGCCTACCTTCAAACGCAGTGCCTCTTTGCTTGACATCATGGGAAAATCAAAAGAAATCAGCCAAGACCTCCACGAGTCTGGTTCATCCTTGGGAGCAATTTCCAAACGCCTGAAGGTACCCCGTTCATCTGTACAAACAATAGTACGCAAGTATAAACACCATGGGACCACGCAGCCGTCATACCGCTCAGGAAGGAAACGCGTTCCGTCTCCTAGAGATTAACGTACTTTGGTGGGAAAAGTGCAAATCAATCCCAGAACAACAGCAAAGGACCTTGTGAAGATGCTGTAGGAAACAGGTACAACATTATCTATATCCACAGTAAAATGAGTCCTATATCGACATAACCTGAAAGGCCGCTCAGCAAGGAAGAAGCCACTGCTCCAAAACCGCCATAAAAAAGCCAGACTACGGTTTGCAACTGCACATGGGGAAAAAGATCGTACTTTTTGGAGAAATGTCCTCTGGTCTGATGAAACATAATGACCATCGTTATGTTTGGAGGAAAAAGGGGGTAGCTTGCAAGCCGAAGAACACCATCCCAACCGTCAAGCACGGGGGTGGCAGCATCATGCTGTGGGGGTGCTTTGCTGCAGGAGGGACTGGTGCACATCACAAAATAGATGGCATCATGAGGAAGGAAAATTATGTGGATATATTGAAGCAATATCTCAAGACATCAGTCAGGAAGTTTAAGCTTGTTCGCAAATGGGTCTTCCAAATGGACAATGACCCCAAGCATACTTCCAAAGTTGTGGCAAAATGGCTTAAGGACAACAAAGTCAAGGTATTGGAGTGGCCATCACAAAGCCCTTACCTCAATCCTATAGAAAATGTGTGGGCAGAACTGAAAAAGCGTGTGCGAGCAATGAGGCCTACCAACCTGACTCAGTTAAACCAGCTCTGTCAGGAGGAATGGGCCAAAATTCACCCAACTTATTGTGGGAAGCTTGTGGAAGGCTACCCGAAACGTTTGACCCAAGTTAAACAATTTAAAGGCAATGCTACCAAATACTAATTGAGTGTATGTAAACTTCTGACCCACTGGGAATGTGATGAAAGAAATAAAAGCTGAAATAAATCACTCTACTATTATTCTGACATTTCACATTCTTAAAATAAAGTGGTGATCCTAACTGACCTAAGACAGGGACTTTTTACTAGGATTAAATGTCAGGAATTGTGAAAAACTGAGTTTAAATGTATTTGGCCTAGGTGTATGTAAACTTCCGACTTCAACTGTAAAATGAAAGCAATTGTCTGAGGATGGTGCTGGGCCATCTGACATGAAAAGAGGACAGTTTTATTTAAAGCTTTTTCATAAAGGTTAAAATCCAGGTCATGTGACATGATTAACCAAAACACAGGGTCCTACCCACTGGCACAGACCTCATTTCAAAGTCTAGTTTTGATTTACATGAGTTGTCAACTAATGTGAATTTAAAGTGAAATCAGCAAAACAATTAACCATGTCATTGGATTTATGTTTAAAGTTGGGTGAAAAAAATAATGAAATGTCCTTTAGTCCATTTGTTTTTCTCCAAATCCAATTGGTTTTCCACGTTGATTCAAGGTAATCACATTGATTTTTTGTTGTTGAAATGACGTGGAAACAATGTTGATTCAACCAGTTTTTGCCCAGTCAGTAGTTATAGTTTATTGATCATAGTGGACTGATTTTCACTTACCCTCCTCCACCAAATGCCAGGTAGTCTGGACTTCCCTTCACAAAGAAGGAGTTACTAAACTTCCATTCATAAACCTGGAAAATAAACAATGATCATAGCTTGGCATCGGTTGTTGTTTGGAAACAGAAACACTCATTGTGCAGTAATACAGTATAAGTAATTTAGGTTAGATTGTATCCAGCCCTGAGCCAGTGATACTGAGACTCGACATGGGGATCTCTCACCTGGAGTTGTGGAGAGAAGGAGAAGAGGAATGTGTGTCCTGTTCCATAGTATGACAGACTGATTCGAAGAGTAGTGGGACAAAATGCACCAAACACCTAGGACAAAGAGGTAGAGTTACAGAGCAAGGGATAAAAATCCCAGACAGATTTATGGCATAGGTGGGAAAACTTGGTTTAGGCCAGTAAAAGGCCTCAGCTACTCCTCACCTGTCCATAGTTGTCTCTGATGACAGTGAGGGTACTGGTGCTACAGTCCATGCCCCCCATGCTCTTGTACAGAGTGCCCAGGCTGGTGCCGTGTCTCTGGGTGCTGTATACCAGAGACCAGGGGCACTGCTCTAGCCGGGCAGGAAGATGCTCATATAGCTGAAAACCACAGGGAATTACACTGTGACATTAATATTTGTATCATTGATATTCATGTGCCAATTTATCATGACTTGTATAGGGAGCATATTTAGCACGCCAATAATTTACCACTATAAAAGTGATGCATTGATTTAATGGAGAATGGTGCAATTGCGGCCCGCAATTCGGGACGTTCCTGCGGTTTCAATATGGTTTGTTTTGTAGTCATGACAAAGATATATACATTGAACAAAAATATAAAACGCAACATGTAAAAATAGACACATTTATCAACATAGATGTCTCCCTCTGATAATTACTCTGAACTGACCAACGGGGACCAGAACATCTCATTTCAGAGAGCGCTGTAAGTTGTTCTACATAAACGGCGCAAAAAAACTAAAAATCAGCTTTACCCAACTCTGTGGAGACCGAAGTGGCCTCCAGTCTTATCCACGTTTGAGACCAGGTTTGGTAATTTGTAAGTCTAAATTGAATTAATGATGACAAATACAAAGGCAGTTTCTGCATGAGTGCTTTGTAGATAAACAAAAGAAATGCTGCCATCTCCTTACATAGAAAGAGGGCCAACCCACTTTTTTAATACGACACTGTATATTCTGCATACAAATGTATATTACCGTTCAAAAGTTTGTGGTCACTTAGAAATGTCCTTGTTTTCCATGAAAACATACATTAAATTAGTTTGAATAGGAAATATAGCAAAATGAATAGGAAATGTAGTCATTGAGAAGGTTAGAAATAATGATTTTTAATTGAAATAATAGTGTCCTTCAAACTTTGCTTTCGTCAAAGAATCCTCCATTTGCAGCAATTACAGCCTTGCAGACCTTTGGCATTCTAGTTGTCAATTTGTTGAGGTAATCTGAAGAGATTTCACCCCATGCTTCCTGAAGCACCTCCCACAAGTTGGATTGGCTTGATGGGCACTTCTTACGTACCATACGGTCAAGCTGCTCCCACAACAGCTCAATAGGGTTGTGATCCGGTGACTGTGCTGGCCACTCCATTATAGACAGAATACCAGCTGACTACTTCTTCCCTAAATAGTTATTGCATAGTTTGGAGCTGTGCTTTGGGTCATTGTCCTGTTGTAGGAGGAAATTGGCTCCAATCAAGCGCCGTCCACAGGGTATGGCATGGTGTTGCAAAATGGAGTGATAGCCTTCCTTCTTCAAGATCCCTTTTACCCTGTACAAATCTCCCACTTTACCACCACCAAAGCACCCCCAGACCATCACATTGCCTCCACCATGCTTGACAGATGGCATCAAGCACTCCTCCAGCATCTTTTCATTTGGTCTGCGTCTCACAAATGTTCATCTTTGTGATCCGAACACCTCAAACTTCGATTCGTCTGTCCATAATTTTTTTTTCTCCAATATTCCTCTGTCCAGTGTCTGTGTTCTTTTGCCCATCTTAATATTTTATTTTTATTGGCCAGTTTGAGATATGGCTTTTTCTTTGCAACTCTGCCTAGAAGGTCAGCATCCCAGAGTCGCCTCTTCACTGTTGACGTTGAGACTGGTGTTTTGCGGGTACTATTTAATGAAGCTGCCAGTTGAGGACCTGTGAGGCGTCTGTTTCTCAAACTAGAGACACTAATGTTTTTGTCCTCTTGCTCAGTTGTGCACCGGGGCCTCCCACTTCTCTTTCTATTCTGGTTAGAGCCAGTTTGCGCTGTTCTGTGAAGGGAGTCGTACACAGCGTTGTACGAGATCTTCAGTTTCTTGGCAATTTCTTGCCTTCATTTCTCAGAACAAGAATAGACTCACGAGTTTCAGAAGAAAGTTATTTGATTCTGGCCATTTTGAGCCTGTAATCAAACCCACAATTGCTGATGCTCCAGATACTCAACTAGTCTCAAGAAGGCCAGTTTTATTGCTTCTTTAATCAGCACAACAGTTTTTAGCTGTGCTAACGTAATTGCAAAAGGGTTTTCTAATGATCAATTAGCCTTTTAAAATGATAAACTTAGATTAGCAAACACAACGTGCCATTGGAACACAGGACCGATGGTTGCTGATAATGGGCCTCTGTACGCCTATATAGACATTCCATTTTTAAAAAATCTGCAGTTTCCAGCTACAATATATGGAGGACTAAAAGTGCCACAATTAAATAAATAAATACACCATTAAATAATTACTTAAATGTGTCAATAATTAATTAAAATTAGAATTAAATACATAAATGTGTTATTAAATGTATCATTAATTAATTCAAATACCGATTCATTTTATGTAAAATACATATATAATTATTTCACTATTTACATTTACATTTCATGATCCTGCATTGCAGTGATTCATGAATTACTTAAAACTGTCAAACTGACCCATCAAAGTCAGTGGGCGGGGCTAACGCGAATCTAGTCTGATCCATTGCTTTGGTCTGAAGTAGAGTAGGCCAACCTGGATAGAGACAATGGAGGATCTCCGTGAACTTTCCAGGGAGTTGGTTAGAGACATTTTAAACTTAGCAGAGGATGTAGAAGCAGGACCTGCTGACATTATCCGGAATTGATTTGTCTTGGCTTGATGCAGAGGGTAACCAATCAGGCGTTAGGTTCCGCCTACCAACTTTTGATGGGTCAGTTTGACAGTTTTAAGTAATTCAGGAAGCACTCCAACGCAGGACCATGAAATGTAAATGTAAATAGTGAAATTATTATATATGTATTTTACATAAAATGAATCGGTATTTGAATTAATTAATGACACATTTAATAACACATTTATGTATTTAATTCTAATTTTAATTAATTAATGACACATTTAAGTAATTATTTAATGGTGTATTTATTTATTTAATTGTGGCACTTTTAGTCCTCCATAACAATAGCCATTTACAACATTAACAATGTCCACACTGTATTTCTGATCAATTTGATGTTCTTTTAAATGGACAAAAAATGGCTTTTCTTTCGAAAACAAGGACATTTCTAAGTGACCCCAAACTTTTGAATGGTAGGGTATATATACACACATTACCAGTCAAAAGTTGGACACACCTACTCATTCCAGGGTTTTTCTTTATTTTAAAAAACTATTTTCTACATTGTAGAGTAATAGTGAAGACATCAAAACTATGAAATAACACATATGGAATCATGTAGTTACCAAAAAAGTTTTAAACAAATTCTTCAAAGTAGCTACCCTTTGCCTTGATGACAACTTTCCACACTCTTGGCATTCTCTCAACCAGCTTCACCTGGAATGCTTTTCCAACAGTCTTAAAGGAGTTTCCACATATGCTGAGCACCTGTTGGCTGCTTTTCCTTCACTCTGTGGTCTGACTCATCCAAAACCATCTCAATTGGGTTGAGGTCGGGGGATTGTGGAGGCCAGGTCATCTGATGCAGCACTCCATCACTCTCCTTCTTGGTAAAATAGCCCTTACACAGCCTGGAGGTGTGTTGGGTCATTGTCCTGTTGAAAAACAAATGATAGTCCCACTAAGCCCAAACCAGATGGGATGGCGTATCACTGCAGAATGCTGTAGTAGCCATGCTGGTTAAATGTGCCTAGAATTCTAAATAAAATCAGACAGTGTCACCAGCAAAGCACACCCACACCCTAACACCTCCTCCTCCATGCTTTACGGTGGGAACTACACATGAGGAGATCATACGTTCACCCACACACATTTCACAAAGCCACGGCGGTTGGAACCAAAAATCTCCAATTTGGAGTCCAGACCAAAGGACACATTTCCACCGGTCTAATGTCCATTGCTCGTGTTTCTTGGCCCAAGCAAGCCTCTTCTTCTTATTGGTGTCCTTTAGTAGTGCTTTCTTTGCAGCAATTCGGCCATGAAGGCCTGATTCACACAGTCCCCTCTGAACAGTTGATGTTGAGATGTGTCTGTTACTTGAACTCTCTGAAGCATTTATTTGGGCTGCAATTTCTGAGGCTGGTAACTCTAATGAACTTATCCTCTGCAACAGAGGTAACTCTGGGTCTTCTATCCCTGTGGCGGTCCTCATGAGAGCCAGTTTCATCATAGTGCTTGATGGTTTTTGTGACTGCACTTGAAGAAACTTTAAAAGTTCTTGACATTTTCCATATTGACTGACCTTCATGTCTTAAAGTAATGATGGACTGTCGTTTCTCTTTTGACTGGTAGTGTATATAAACTCAGCAAAAAAAGAAACGTCCCTTTTTCAGGACCCTGTCTTTCGTTAAATTCCAAATAACTTCACAGATCTTCATTGTAAAGGGTTTAAACACTGTTTCCCATGCTTGTTCAATGAACCATAAACAATTAATGAACATGCACCTGTGGAACGGTCGTTAAAACACTAACAGCTTACAGACGGTAGGCAATTAAGGTCACAGTTATGAAAACTTAGGACACTAAAGAGGCCTTTCTACTGACTCTGAAACACACCAAAAGAAATATGCCCAGGGTCCCTGCTCATCTGCGTGAAAGTGCCTTAGGCATGCTGCAAGGAGGCATGAGGACTGCAGATGTGGCCAGGGCAATAAATTGCAATGACGCCTAAGACAGCGCTACAGGGAGACAGGACGGACAGCTGATCGTCCTCGCAGTGGCAGACCATGTGTAACAACACCTGCACAGGATCGGTACATCCGAACATCACACCTGTGGGACAGGTACAGGTTGGCAACAACAACTGCCGGAGTTACACCAGGAACGCACAATCTCTCCATCAATGCTCAGACTGTCCGCAATAGGCTGAGAGAGGCTGGACTGAGGGCTTGTAGGCCTGTTGTAAGGCAGGTCCTCACCAGACATCACCAGCAATAATGTCACCTATGGGGACCAACCCACCGTCACAGACAGGACTGGCAAAAAGTGCTCTTCACTGACGAGTCGCAGTTTTGTCTCACCAGGGGTGATGGTCGGATTCACGTTTAACGTTGAAGGAATGAGAGTTACACCGAGGCATGTACTCTGGTGCAGGATCGATTTGGAGGTGGAGGGTCCATCATGGTCTGGGGCGGTGTGTCACAGCATCATCGGACTGAGCTTGTTGGCATTGCAGGCAATCTCAACGCTGTGCATTACAGGGAAGACATCCTCCTCCCTCATGTGGTACCCTTCCTGCAGGCTCATCCTGACATGACCCTCCAGCATGACAATGCCACCAGCCATACTGCTCGTTCTGTGCATGATTTCCTGCAAGACAGGAATGTCAGTGTTCTGCCATGGCCAGCGAAGAGCCCGGATCTCAATCCCATTAAGCACGTCTGGGACCTGTTGGATCGGAGGGTGAGGGCTAGGGCCATTCCCCCCAGAAATGTCTGGGAACTTGCAGGTGCCTTGGTGGAAGAGTGGGGTACCATCTCACAGCAAGAACTGGCAAATCTGGTGCACTCCATGAGGAGGAGATGCACTGCTTAATGGCCACACCAGATACTGACTTACTTTTGATTTTGACCCCCCCTTTGTTCAGGGACACATTATTCAATTTCTGTTAGTCACATGTCTGTGGAACTTGTTCAGTTTGTCTCTCAGTTGTTGAATCTTGTTATGTTCATACAAATATTTACACATGTTAAGTTTGCTGAAGATAAACGCAGTTGACAGTGAGAGGACGCTCACTGACAGTGAGAGGACGCTTTTTGCTGAGTATATACAGTGAGGGAAAAAAGTTTTTGATCCCCTGCTGATTTTGTACGTTTGCCCACTGACAAAGACATGATCAGTCTATAATTTTAATGGTAGGTTTATTTGAGCAGTGAGAGACCGAATAACAACAACAAAAAATCCAGAAAAAACGCATGTAAAAAATGTTAAAAATTGATTTGCATTTTAATGAGGGAAATAAGTATTTGACCCCTCTGCAAAACATGAAATAGTACTTGGTGGCAAAACCCTTGTTGGCAATCACAGAGGTCAGACGTTTCTTGTAGTTGGCCACCAGGTTTGCACACATCTCAGGAGGGATTTTGTCCCACTCCTCTTTGCAGATCTTCTCCAAGTCATTAAGGTTTCGAGGCTGACGTTTGGCAACTCGAACCTTCAGCTCCCTCCACAGATTTTCTATGGGATTAAGGTCTGAAGACTGGCTATGCCACTCCAGGACCTTAATGTGCTTCTTCTTGAGGCACTCTTTTGTTGCCTTGGTCATGTGTTTTGGGTCATTGTCATGCTGGAATACCCATCCACGACCTATTTTCAATGCCCTGGCTGAGGGAAGGAGGTTCTCACCCACGATTTGACGGTACATGGCCCCGTCCATCGTCCCTTTGATGCGGTGAAGTTGTCCTGTCCCCTTAGCAGAAAAACACCCCCAAAGCATAATGTTTCCACCTCCATGTTTGACGGTGGGGATGGTGTTCTTGGGGTCATAGGCAGCATTCCTCCTCCAAACACGGTGAGTTGAGTTGATGCCAAAGAGCTCGATTTTGGTCTCATCTGACCACAACACTTTCACCCAGTTCTCCTCTGAATCATTCAGATGTTCATTGGCAAACTTCAGACGGGCCTGTATATGTGCTTTCTTGAGCAGGGGGACCTTGCGGGTGCTGCAGGATTTCAGTCCTTCACAGAGTAGTGTGTTACCAATTGTTTTCTTGGTGACTATGGTCCCAGCTGCCTTGAGATCATTGACAAGATCATCCCGTGTAGTTCTGGGCTGATTCCTCACCGTTCTCATGATCATTGCAACTCCACGAGGTGAGATCTTGCATGGAGCCCCAGGCCGAAGGAGATTGACAGTTCTTTTGTGTTTCTTCCATTTGCAAATAATCGCACCAACTGTTGTCACCTTCTCACCAAGCTGCTTGGCGATGGTCTTGTAGCCCATTCCAGCCTTGTGTAGGTCTACAATCTTGTCCCTGACATCCTTGGAGAGCTCTTTGGTCTTGGCTATGGTGGAGAGTTTGGAATCTGATTGATTGCTTCTGTGGACAGGTGTCTTTTATACAGGTAACAAGCTGAGATTAGGAGCACTCCCTTTAAGAGTGTGCTCTAATCTCAGCTCGTTACCTGTATAAAAGACACCTGGGAGCCAGAAATCTTTCTGATTGAGAGGGGATCAAATACTTATTTCCCTAATTAAAATACAAATGAATTTATAACATTTTTGACATGCGTTTTTCTGGATTTTTTTGTTGTTATTCTGTCTCTCACTGTTCAAATAAACCTACCATTAAAATTATAGACTGATCATTTCTTTGTCAGTGGGCAAACGTACAAAATCAGCAGGGGATCAAATACTTTTTTCCCTTACTGTATATATATATATATATTTTTACAGCATTACCAATGTTATTTATATAGACAGTAGTGGGCCGAGTATCGAACCTTGGGGCACTCCTTTATGTAACTCAAGGAACTCAGATTTGACCCCATCTACCTTGAAGGCCTGAGTTCTGTCATTGAGATAATTATGAAACCATCGGCAAGCATCAATACCCAACCCTATCGAGGACAGCTTATTCAACAGAATAACATGGTCTACAGTATCAAAAGTGTTTGGTGTCAATAGCTAATAAGGCGGCAAGAACCTCTGTTTCTGTGAGTTGCCAAAAAGAAAAGGGGGGGGAAGTAGAGGAATTTCCCCGCTTCAGAGTCTGCAATACCGCTAAGGAAGTAGTTTGATTTGGCATGTTTAACTGAGGCAGTGCACCTATTTCTCAATTGCCTAAACAGCTGACAATCAGCTAACGAGTCAGTTTGTCTAACCTTGGCCCAGGCTTGATTTCTTATTAAGAGGAGGTCTAAAGCCTTGTTCACATTGGCAGTCAGAACAGCCAAAAAGCACATAGAATCAGATATGTCAAGCCACATTTTAAACCACCTTTGGTTTGAAGTCAGATACAAATCGTATTACTGGCCATGTTCAAATCTGATTTATTTGCCAACATAGTTGACTGCCTTGGCTAGCCAAAAAGGACTCGTTTTGAAAGTTGGATCATCTTATCCTTTGAGGCTTTAAAAGTGTTACACTATGATTCACAAAAATTCAAAGCAACTGTGAATGGCAGGCATTGTTGTCACCTTTCATGCTACCCGGACCGGGCGCGTGCGACCGCGTGCGCAAGTTGATTTTGCCCCCCCCACACCAGACGCGATCAGGGCAAGCAGGTTGAAATATCAAAACAAACTCTGAACCAATTATATTAATTTCGGTACAGGTCGAAAAGCATTAAACATGTATGGCAATTTAGCTAGCTAGCTTGCTGTTGCTAGCTAATTTGTCCTGGGATATAAACATTGGGTTGTTATTTTACCTGAAATGCACAAGGTCCTCTACTCCAACAATTAATCCACAGATAAAACGGTAAAGGTTTTTTCTAGTAATCTTTCCTCCTTCAGGCTTCTTCTTCTTCTTTTTTGGACTTTATATGGCGGTTGGCAACCAACTTTATGGTGCATTACCACAACCAACTAGACTGGAGCATAGACCTCAGTTCATCTTTCAATCATCCACTTGGGTAGATGCTCCTAAAAACCAATGAGGAGATGGGCGAGGCAGGACTTGCAGCTGGTTGAGCCTCACAAATAGAACAGAGTTCTATTTTAGGGCCTGGCCACGCAGACGCTCATTGACGCGTGCGAGCAGTGTGGGTGCAATCTTCTTCTTCTTCAGTGGGTTTTATCGGCGGTTGGCATCCAACGTTATGGTGCATTACCGCCACCTACTGTACTGGAGTGTGGGCCAGAGACAGGGATAAACTAAATCCTACCTGCCAACCCAGTTTCTCTTAAAAAAGACAACAAAATATGTGATACTATATCTAATGACGTTCTACTCAATATACTCTTTAAACTAATTTCCTGTACACCCTTCTCCCTCATACTTAATTTCATCCTCTCTCTTTCCCTCTCATACTGCCCACACTGTAGCAATACATGCTCCACAGTCTCTATTTCCTGACAATAATCACATTTTCCTGATGGATGCTTTCTTATCACGCTTAGTGTCTTATTCAACTGGCTGTGTCCCACCCTTAATCTTGTAAATATAGCCTCCTCTCTTCTGTCCCTTCCTGCCGTCCTCCCCGACTTTCCTCTGTCCTTGAAATAAATGCCTCCCCTTAATATTTATATTCCACTGCTCCTGCCATCTCTGCACCATCACTGTATATATCAGTCTTTTTGCCTCTGCCTTGCTCATTGACACCTCAACATCAACATCCCCAAAAGGCCAACAGTATGGTCATCAGCTCCGCCGTATATACAGCCAGATGATCTGTAATGCGTTTCCTGACTTCCACCCCACATTCCTGCACTACAAATGCTGACCCAGTACGTCCTGTACTTGGATCTTTTGAACCATCTGTGTAAATGGCCACAAAATCCTGATACACAGTTTCCAGATGTCTCTTAAAGAAATCAGCTGGATCAACACCCTCCCTATCTTTCTGTAGTCTCTCCAACACTTCTAGATCAACTACTGGAGGCGGGAGTAGCCATGGTGGATTTACAGGAATAACTACCATTGGACTAAACTCCCTTCCATACAGCCCCATCTCCTTCGCCTGGGTATTACCCAACCACCCAAAGCTCGTGTTCTGTCTTCGCTCATGTTCCCAGCATGCCTGTAAAAACCCTTTCACAGGATGAGACACCCCATGTCCCTGTAGGTTGACCCAATAATTCATTGCCAGCTGCTGTCTCCTAATCTGCAATGGCATATCCCCCATCTCCACCTGTAATGCAGCCACTGGGGACATTCGAAACGCCCCACGACATATTCTGAGTCCTTGCCCCTGTATGACATCTAGCCTTTCCAGTGAGGTCCGGGCTGCCGAACCATATGCTATACTTCCATAATCTATTACAGATCGGATCAATGCAATATACATGATCTTTAATGAGGAACGCCCAGCTCTCCACTCCTTCCCCGTCAGACAGCGCATCACATTTAGCACCTTCTTACACTTTCCCACCACTCTCTCAATGTGTTCTGCCCAGGTCAGTCTAGTATCAAAGTATACCCCAAGGAACCTGAAGGCCCCCACCCTCTCCAGGTTTCTCCCATATAACCTCAAGCATACCTCATCTCCCACCTTCCTCCTGGTAAAGAACACAGTTGGAGTTTTCTCTACAGAGAACCTGAATCCCCACATTAGTGCCCACCACTCTACCTCATCAATTGCTTCCTGCACCTTCCTGACTATGTATGGCACATTTATTCCCCTCTTCCATAAGGCACCATCATCTGCAAATAACGACCTCCCTATATCCGGCTGTACCTGAGAGTAAACATAATTGATCATGATTGAGAACAACAGAGGACTAATCACGCTCCCCTGCGGCGTATCATTATCCACCAAGTAGCTGCCTGATAAAGACATCCCCACCCTCACCTGGATAGACCTTCCAAACAGGAAATCCTTTATCCAGTTGAACATTCTTCCTCCTACCCCCATAATATCTAGCTTGATTAACAACCCCTCCTTCCACATCATATCATACGCCTTATCCACATCAAAAAAGACAGCTACAACAGTCTCCTTGTTCACCTGAGCCTTCCTAACCTCTGCTTCTAAGCAGAGCACTGAATCCATAGTTCCCCTACCCTTCCTGAACCCACTCTGATGTGGCGTTACTAGCCCTCTGCTCTCCAGGAGGTAAGTTAGCCTCTCCATAATCATAAGTTCCATAATCTTACATACATGTGATGTTAAAGCTATTGGCCGATAGCTTGTTGGCTTCGTTGGATCCTTATCGGGCTTCTGGATTGGTACCACTACTGCCTCCTTCCAACTGCCGGGTAGTTTCCCCTCCTCCCACACTCTGTTGTACAACACCAATACCTTATCCAGTGCCTCATCACTAAGATGGGCCAACATAACATAGCACACCTCATCTTTCCCAGGTGAAGTTAACCCTCCCTTACCTATTGCTCTTCTCACCTCTGCCCTGGTAAATGGTGCACTCAACGCATCATTTACATCCTCCCTCCTTTCCAGCACTCCGGGGACGCCCCTCTCGTGTTCTCTCTCCCCCTCTGCCCCTCCTCTGACAGATTTGCTGAGCTATGCACTTGAACAAATGCTTTGGCCATCATCTCTGCTTTCACCTCATCTGTTACTGCCACATCCTCCCCACTCGTCAACACTGGATAATTATGCATTTTTTTCATGAAACGGATGGATGGAAATGGACAAGTGATGGAAAATTTGATAGAAAATAAAGATCTGATGTGCCTGAATGATGGCCGAGGGACCAGGATTGATGTAGCCACAGGGAAAGAGTCTGCCTTGGACCTCACTCTGGTATCTAGTGATCAGATCTTTCTTTTCTATCAAATTTTCCATCACTTGGCCATTTCCATCCATCCGTTTCCCCCCCCAAAGCGTTTTGTGGGCGTTAAAATCCCCACACCACATTACCTTACTTCTTTCCTGGCCCTCCACCCTCTCCAGCACTTCCATGTCCAATATCTGACACGGATTATAGTAATTCACTACCACTAGCACCCCTCCTCTCAGCCACACCTCCACCACCACATACTCCTGTTCAATACCTTTGCCTCTACTTTAGCAGCGCTATTGATAGCTCCTGCTATGAACGTCACCAGCTTTCTCTTTTCTATGTATACCATATCGCTGCTCACCTGCCCCGTAATCCCTGGTCCAGATGCTCCTACCCATCTGTCCCTTGAACCTGTTTCTCCCTGGACCACCCTCACTGCCTCAGCATATGATACCCTTCTCTCCACTCTCACTTGTTGCACCTCCACTGCCTTCTTCATAGCCTCACACCCACTATATGCCACACTATGAGCACCCCCACAGTTGCAGAACTTTGGTTGTACACCATCTCCACACTTCCCATACTCATGCTCCCCTCCACACCTGGCACACCTCTTTTTCTCTTTACAGACTGTTGCCACATGCCCAAACCTCTGGCATTTATAACATCTTAAAGGTTTCGGTACATAAGCCCTCACATAGTAACTCATATATCCTATTGTTACCTTATTTGGCAGTACCCGCTCCTTAAAATTTAACAGAATAGACGTGCTATCTACCCTATCTCCACCCCTTGTTGCTTGCAATCTTTGTGCATTCACTAGAACGCCTCCTCTCAAATTTTCCCTTCTCTTTAGTGCTAACACTCACATGCACTTTACTCCACTGCTTCCCTGCTTGGTCAGACCAGCTGCTCGACACCACCTTACACTTCCCTATTTGCTTCACTCGATAACTTTTTCCCCCTGCGCCATGTCCTTACAGAACACCAACAAGTTCCCATCTCTTAACACTTTAGCATTAACAACTTCCCCAATCAACTCTTTTATCACAGCCGTCAACCTTATCGGACTCATCGCCCCAACTCCCCCTTCCTCCCTAAACTTCATAATGACTTTATGCTTCTCCTCACCTCCATGTTCCTCTCGTGTCTTATCTTGCCCTTCCTCTGCACTTTCTGCCTCCAAACTTCCACTATCGTTGGAATCTAGGTTGCTCTCCTCAAACTTCCTTTTCTGCCTCCTCTCTACCTCCATAGAACTCTCGCTCCCCTTCATACCCCTACTCCCTTTCTCTCCCGCTTTCTTTTTCCTCTTTTCTTACTCCCTCCTTTATTTGTACCACTATGTTCCATACTTGCTTCCCTTTCCTCTCCATCACTATCTCCTACCATCTCTGAACCATTCACAGCACGGCCGTGCCGAACCTCCGCCACACCGAGTATAGTTTGTTTGTCGATTTTAAAAAAAACCTCTCCTCAACGAAGTTCCCGCGGAAAGTCTTCTTCCTCCTCCAAAATCGTCGGTGTGGGTGCAATGATTGAATAACATGTATGTGTACATTTATTTTGCAACGCTCGCGCACCCGACGCGTGCGGTGTGGTCAGCATGCTACATAACTTCTGAGTGATAGGAAGCCTGAGCACGAGCACCACCACCACCAATCAGCCAACACCATCAGGGTCATGTTTATCAGCCAGAGAGGTAAAAATGGATGAGAAAAATTCAAGTACCAAAACAGGGTCTGGTATGCAGTTAGTAAAAAAAAAAGCTCTGAATAATATAGATCATGAAGGAACGCCTGGGGCGAGAAAAAATGCATCTTCAGATTTATACAAGGGTCAGAGTTTTTCAATTTGGTATCTCAAATGCAGCAATAAGGCAGTGGTCGCGGATATCATTTGCAAAAACACCACTAGCTAAATACTTATGAGGACGGTTAGACAGGATAAGGTCAATCAATGAGAAGTTTGCTAGGTTTTTTACATGAATCCGAGTGGGTTTCATTATCAACTGAGTCAAATTGAAATCAAGACAGTTAATCTTAAACTGATCTGAGGCATGTGTAAACCAATCAAGATGTTGATCTCCTGACACAACCAGTTCAGATACCAGAAAGGATTTTAAATAATCAGCAATAATACCAACAGCCTCCGACAAAACGGCTGGGGGGCGGTAGACCGCAGCAATAAATATGCATATTTTGGTTTATGGTAACTTTTATAACTAACAGCTCACATATTTTGGGGACAGAAATGATAAGAGAGCATGATGCCATAAAGCCCACAGAAGAGTTCGCTTAGTGGAGTAGAGATCGCTTAGTCAAGATTAATGTGTGTTATTATTGCGCATGCCTTTTACCTTTGATGTACGGATTATTATGTCACTCCTGGTAGTCTCACGCACAATAATAATGACCTTGAAGCACATCCTCAGTGATTTGGGTTTTATGCCACGTTCACGACGACTGGGAAGTTGGAACTCGAAATCTCTGTCAACTAAATTCAGTGCGTTCAAGACAACTACCCACTGGTCACAGACGCATGGCCGGAGGAAGATGTTTATGGGTGGGTGCAGTGGCGGCTCCTGAAAAAATTCTCAGGGGGGGCAATTTTTCTGATGATTTAGGTGACCTACACACATTTAAAAAAAGATATGTCCAGCAACAACATGAAGACAGGGGCAGCATATAAGTCAATGCCAGAAGCATTTATTGACTGATCTCAAAAGTGTTGGCTTACAAAAGCAAAATAAGTTATCACAGTAAAAATAATCAAGGGTGTTCTTTCACATTCCTCAACACTGCATAAACAATATGCATTTCCATAAACAAATGAAATATCAGCTGAAAATACAGCATCTTGGTATTTGTTCAGATTGCAGGATCAACAAGAGCTTTTACCACATTTTTTGCCTCATGGTTGAATTGGAAATATGTGCACCTGAGCATAATTCACAACAAGCAAGCAGGTGCTTTTGATAGAGGCTACTGAAAACATTGATGCAAGTTATTGGTAATAAGAAATTTTTATAGACTTCCATATTCTGCCCTCTTGTATAGATTTGTGAAAATGAACAGTGATAGACATTTTGCCTGAAAACAGAATTTGAAAATAATTTATAGAAAAGGTAAACACAGCTATCTGTATGGCTTTGTAAAAATGAACAACCATATTCTGGCCAATTGTATAGATTTGTAAATATGAACAACCATATTCTGGCCAATTGTATAGATTTGTAAAAATGAACATGAACAGATTTTTTTATTTTTTTTTACTTAAAAAAAGAAAGAAAAATAACTATTTTAAACAACATCAACTGTGAACTGATTTGGGCGTGTGTGTGTTAAAGAGACAGACAGGGAGGGACAAAGAGAGAGAGAGGCTACATTACTTGTACTGAAACTGTTCTCTTCTCTCTTTCAATGCAGCAAAGCGGTCAATGACTTTCTCATTGAAATCAGGCATGCTGAGGACTAGTTCCCTCTCAATGGAAAGCATGGCCAGTGCATTCAGACGTTCCTGGCCCATTGAATTTCGCAGGAATGTCTTAACTCGTGTCAAAGTTGAGAAACATCTCTCAGCTTCAGCTGTTGTCATGGGAGTAGTTATGAGGATGTTCAACAGAGTCACAGTCTCAGAGAACGTCTCCTGGAGGTTGTAGCTCATGAGAACCTGGTACAGTGCCAGTGCACCACAGTTTGACTTTCTCGTCGTCGGCAAAAAGACCGTTCAGTCTCTCCAAAAGCACACTGGCGATTGAGACTGAGGTTGATTCCGAGATGGGAAGGAACTCAAAAAAGCGCTCCTGCACTTTGTGGTTGCTATCTATGTACCTCAGCACAAGCACCAGCTGTGTCTGTGTAGAAACGTCCGTGGTCTCGTCAGCTTGGATAGCTACGAAGTTCGCCGACTTCACCTCCTCCACAATATGTTCCCTCATGACCGCTAGCATACACTCCAGTAGCTCGTTTTGAATGGTCTTTGATGTGAACTTCTTTCAAAGAGACAATCGAGTTGCACTGAACGCTAGCCATCTTGATAATAGTACGTGAATTGATTGACGCTGCTACCCGCTCTTTTCTTAGTTACGTTCATGGTTATGTTACGTATGACGAAAGCGCGTAAGTGCAAGCCCTCAGAAACCCATAGAGATTGTATTGAAAGCTCTGATATTTGAAAAAAAAAGATTTTACATGATTTTCTATGAGAGACTCCTGGGCGATTTTCAACCTGACTGAAATTTCCCCAAAAGGGGCGGGGCCATTTGAAGCACGACTTTAGCCTGATTGGACATTTAGTGGCAGATCAGACGTCTAGATTAGAACACTGATAACTACTGTTGCCGTGATATAATTGATTAGAAAAAAAATCCCTTCCTTTTCCCGTTTGGCAGTGCGTCGCCCATATCGCCCTAATGAACACACCGCTCCTGGGTGGGTGTACTGTTTGTTGACTCTTTTTCTCCTCATACAGGAGTAATAAAGGGCCAGGCACTATTTCTTTTTACAATTCTGATTTATTAGGGGGTGCTGCAGCACCATTAGCACCCCTGCTTCTCGTGGCTATGAACAGACGTCAGTTCAACCTCTAGTTTTGATTTCCATTTGGTTGTAAATCAATTTACCTGAATTCAACGTGAAAGCAACAAAAAAATGCACCATGTCATTGGATTTAGGTTAACGGGTGAAGAAAATACTAAATTCCCTTATGTTGATGACTTTTTTCAAATCCAATCAGTTTTCCAGTCATCACATTACATGTTTTGGTTGAAATGACTTGGGAATGTTGATTCAGCCAGTTTTTGCCCAGTGTGTGGAAACTCGATAAAAACGAGCTCCGACTGGGAAAAAATAGTTTTGAATGGTCATCTAACTCGTAATTCCAAGTCGGAAACTCGGGCAACCTATTTGTAGAGCTCTGAATTTCCAACCTACAGATCACTGACATCACGATTTGACCTTGTTTTTTCAGTTCCCAGTTGTCTTGAGCACACCATTAGTAGATTGTTTGTAGTGCTAATATGCTGACATGTAGTTGCTCAGTTGACCAAACCAATGTTGTAGCCATATTTATGTCAAGCTAAGTACTCAAGTCAAGCCTTACAGTTATACTCACCAAGCATATTATATTATGTGTCACTTGCATTTGGTTAACTTCTGAATTTGGTCCATGCATTAATTAGTTGGTTTGGCCACTAGGAGGCAGGCAAACATAACTGTCTCTGAGAACTGGTAGTCATACCTGACATAGCTGACCAATGTGAAGGAGGCTGCTTTGGTCTGTGAGCTCAGGTTTCGTTGGGTCCTCCGAGCTGAGGTCGTCTAAATCCTGCCTGTCTGAAAGGTCCCAAGAGCGGGCACTGCCCCGTCTTTGTGTATGAAGACTGTCCACTTCGACGATCTTAAAATCTTCTTCCTGCTCCTCTTCCTCCCTACTATTGATCCTGTGGAATGAGGATGAGGCCCGTCTGACACGGTTGACCTGTGTGACACACACACACACACACACAAACACACACACAAACACACACACACACACACACACACACACACACACACACACACACACACACACACACACACACACACACACACACACACACACACACAAATACTCACATACACACAAACACACACACCTGGTGAGAGGAGTAGGAAGACAGCGCAGAGTTCCATCAGACATTACCCAAAGTTCCAACAATCGATTTTGCGTTGCTGTCTCTCTCTTCTCCTCCATCGCTGCTCCTCACTTTGGTCTCCAAGCAATTATCCTGCTAGCATTCCACTGAGTGCACAGCGCTACATGGCTCCCTCCTCTCTCTCCCTCTTTTCTTGATCAATTCCTTTATCCCTCTCTGGAAAGTGCTTGGTGGCTTTGACTGTCCGACACCCATAACCGAAGGTGTGACAGGTTTTAAAACCAAACACTAATACCCTTTATTATTCTGTGAAGGGCTGTTGTAGGGAGACAGTAATGGATTCGTGTCTGTGTGTGTGTACGTCTGTGTGTAAATGTGAGTGGGGATGTGTGTGTGTCCACTGTGTGTGTGTGTGCATGCATGCATGTGTGTGTGTGTGAGAGAGAAGAGAGTGTCTACTGTTTGTGTGTGTGTGTGTGCACGCTGTGTATGTGTCTGTGGGAATGTGTGTGTTCACTGTATTTGTGTGCATGCATGTGTGTGTGAGAGAGAGAAAGGGAGTGTTTACTGTGCATGCACGCAAGCACTCTGTATGTGTCTGTGGGGATGTGTGTGTTTGTGTGCTTCTTTACAGCACAATCATAAAGAACATTAATCAACACTGAGGGTAGCCTTCTCTGTTCCCACGGTGAGAGGCTTTTTGCATCCTTCTGCTGATCTGACAGGCTGCAGTACGCAATCACAGCTTTAGAGTGCTAAGCTTTTGTGTGTGTGTTTGTGACTGTGTGTACTTTCGCAGTCTATATCCATCAGGACCTCAGGGTTTCCCTATGGATCTATAGCCAACACAAAGCTTACAGTCAGTTAACTGGCTTATGATTGTCCATTCTTTCCTCAACAGCTTGCTCCATGAGTAATGGTCTTCTTCAGTTCTAGTGGACAAATGCTATGCTCTGATGTTTGAAAATGTACCATAAGCACAGGGCCAGACTTATGCATTTGGGGTCCCGGGGCACCTACCTCCAGGGGTAGATTTTGCAATTTTAAAGCTAATTTCCTGCTATTCTACACATTTTGCCTTGAGGCTGAGAGAAGCTTTTGCCATTTTAACGCTAATCTCCTGCAATTCTACACATTAATTTTGCCATTGCTTATGACGTGTTCAAATGCTATCTGGGGGGCCCCCGACCTCCAGGCCCTGACCTCCAAACATCCAGTTACCCTGCCCTGCGTTCCCATTCGGTAATTAGGCCCTGCATAAGCAAGCCTGGTATTGTTCCAAATACCGGAAAAAATTATTCAGTTAGTGTGCAAGCTATAATCCATAATCACTATACAGTATCAAGTGTTTATGTGCACTGAACTCTTCTCCAACTATTCCTTTGCCTCCCAGTCCCAGCCAAAAAGACTAAATCAATGAAATGGTTGCCACACGACTATACTGTAAACAGCTCCCTGTTGTCTTTCTGCATGCGGTGACCTGCGAATAGGGGAGCACAGACATGCTGCCTATGTGGCACTAAGCCACGCAGAGACTCGCTCGTCACAGTGCCAGCGACTGTGCTTGTTTAGAAACACAATATGGCCATCTTGGCTGGGTGCTCAGATAGACGGAGGGGGGAAATGAACGCTTGCCAGCTAAGTTGTGTCATTCTTTTTTTATTTTATGTATTTCTCTCTCTTTCTCTACTCTCAGGCCATTCTCTTTCTCTCTGTCTTTCTCTACTCTCAGGCCATTCTCTTTCTCTCTCTCTTTCTCTACTCTCAGGCCATTCTCTCTCTCTTTCTCTACTCTCAGGCCATTCTCTTTCTCTCTCTTTCTCTACTCTCAGGCCATTCTCTGCAGGGAGCTGTGTGAGGAAGGAAACAGTCTTTCTGGACTGATAGTAAGGAGTGATCAAATGCACAGTGTTCTCAGAAACAATCCAACATTGTGACATTATTGTGTTGTTAGATTTTTCAAGCTTTCAGGTTGATAATGTATTTATTTAATTTCCCTTTTATATCCTACAAAGATTAGACTGTTTTATAAAGGAAACTTCTGAGAAAGCTGAATCCATTAAGTAATGGTTGCATAATATATATTTTTCCCAGCAGTGTGGTATTCAAGCTGTGTCTTGTAGAACAAATTAACGCCATTATCACTTTTACATAATAGCGACATTAATAGAACTGATAACAGCTTTATCATCAGCTTGATCTGTCACCCCTCTCTTCACTGGAATAGTGGCAGCTAATATCATCTCTTTCCACAGAAAATGTATTAGTATAGAACTGACATATCTGCCAGCCCTCCATAATGAATTGACATCATTAACTATACTGGACAGTGAGTAACTAGAGACAAACCATTCAGAACACACTATTATGTTCCCACAATATGTTCCCATCAACACTGCTCTTTTATTCTGATAATGATACACAGCGCTATTGGCATATATTATCATACCTCATTGGAATATATTTCTACACACTAGCACTGACCCTATATTGCCTACAATGTCAAAGGACATCTTTAAAAAATAAATAAACACCAATCACTGTGTAGGCTAACTGCAGTGTTTATATGTACACAGCAATGGCTCTAGGCAGGAACACTCACAACCACCTCTATTTCCATTTTTCTCACTGAACACTGAACACACCATGGAGGCCCTTTGTTCTTACATGAACAGTAGTGTATTTTCATGTGTTACATTATCATCGACTACTGCATTTCACTGCAAAACTTTGGTTTAAGGTCTAATGCTTATGAAGTACACTTTACTTTAAGCCTGAGTGACACATAATTTAATTGGTCTTGTAGATTATCCATCTAACTAATAAGCAATTGGTAACTGATTATTCCAACCCTACACATACACACTGTACTCACCAAGAGGTTATAACGCAAGGCTTTGAGTATATCCATATTCTTCAGTGATTCTCAGATGAAAATGTCTCCCTGTATGCACGTTTATTCACTTCTCAGTTAATCAGGTAGGTAGCCTAGCCTAGTGTTTAAGAGCATTGGGCCAGTAACTGAAGATGTGATTACTCCTTCACCTGGACATACCTTCTTCTCTCTTGCACCCTCCCCCTCTGTCTCTCTGATGAGGGTGGTTAGAAGGTGTGGAATATTCCACTGTGATTGCTAAGTGACATCTCACTCCTGTCATTCCTCAAAGTACTCAATAGGGGAATAGCAGTTTTGAATGATGGTTTGAGCACAGTTGATAGGTTTCTGTATGTCATTGATATGTTTGATTGCAAGTATATGTGGGTGCGCACATGTGAGTGTCTAGGCCTACTACAGTTCATGCATGTTAGAAGGAAGGAATTAATCGAATATGATCATCAGGAGCTGCTGAACTTCACTTTTACTTCAGGGCGTTTTTATTGATCTGACTGATTTATAGTATCTTATGCCACAGAGACACACGGCTGTGGATTGTACATTTGGGAAAGTTAATGGTTAATGTCAGAGGGTTGTGGGTTCAAAACACTGGCTGTTGAGACTGCAGTTGAAGGGTTATTTCGTGTTATGGAAATGTTCGTCAGGGTAACAGGATAATGCCCCCCCCCCCTCTCTAATTGACTACTGTTCTCAGCAGTGTGTGCGTGCGCGAGTGTGTGTGCACGCGTGTGTGTGTGATGGAGGGGTGGTGAGATTGGTTGGTAAAGTATGCTCCATAATACAATGAAAGACAGAGACCCTGTTGGTATTATACAGTGATGTTTTCCTTCTAGAGGAAATGCTCTTAAAGGGCAACTGAACGCAAAAACCAACTTCTCTGGTTGAAAACGGCCTTTGTGGCATCGATATTAGTCCGAAACATTTATTCCAGTGCCAAAATTGAATAAAATGTTTAAGTAGGATAATTCTGGTCATAAAGCCAGTATATTCTAAAACTGAGTTTTGTAAGATTTGTGTAACTGAGGTCGGCACGATTTACATGAGGGTTGGATTTGGATTAGAATCATGCCCACTTGCCCACTAACACAGGATTGTAACAACTAGGGAGAATTTTCATGTACTGAGAAACTTGCGCTCTATCCAATCATAGCAGCGAACCACTAGACGGTCAAGACAGACCTGCCCATTACACAAACCCACTGTGTACACACTGGTTGAATCAACATTGTTTCCACATAATTTCAATGAAATTACGTTGCACCAATGTGGAATAGACGTTGAATTGACGTCTGTGCCAAATGGGGAACCTCGGACTCTGACTTGATTACGTAAGACAACACGAAATGAGTACTGAAAAGATGTGCCCTTGCATCCCAACTGCCACTTGTCAATACCCTGTTTACACTGCTTTGAATTTATTTCAATGGCAGGAAAATCCCTGGCTTCATTGACAAACACAGAGATGGAACTTAGCTAGCTAGTGACTTTGGGCACTAATAAACAGTGTGTAGCAGCTTGTGCTTTATTTATGATAGTTTGACAGCTTGCTGATGATGAAGTTGTAGACATGTTCTCAGAAACCAGTTCTGCTCGCAGCCAGCAGCAGCTGACTCGATACTGTCTGCAGTGCAATTTTCTTTATTTACATTTTAGTCATTTAGCAGACGCTCTTATCCAGAGCGACTTACAGTTATTCTTTTTTTTTTATATATATATATATATATATATATATATATACAGTGGGGAGAACAAGTATTTGATACACTGCCGATTTTGCAGGTTTTCCTACTTACAAAGCATGTAGAGGTGTCAAGGGGTGCTGAAGGTGGGTGTGGTGCATGAATCAAGCGCAGGACGCAGAAGCTCAGTCCAAAATACTTTAGTGCAATATTCACGTAGAAAATAAGCACAATAAGCCCGAAGGCGAAATCACGGCGCACACAGGCGTCAAACAAACGGCGCACTAACATGTGCAAAAAACCTCTCCAAAACACTGGAGGGAAGTACGTAGCTCCAACACGAAAACAGAAGAGCAATCACACACAAAGACAAACACAACCAACGAGAACTAAATAGGACACTAACGAGGACTAACAAGACACAGGTGTACAACATAAAGACAAAACCAAACGAACATGAAACATAGAT